GGAAGTGAAGTGGAGCACTTTGTGTTTGCGTGAGAGAGAGAGAGGCGGGTGTGTGTGTGTGTGTGTGTGTGTGTGTGTGTGTGTGTGTGTGTGTGTGTGTGTGTGTGTGTGTGTGTGTGTGTGTGTGTGTGTGTGTGTGTGTGTGTGTGTGTGTGTATGGAGAAAGAGGAAAAACTGTAAGAAAGTAAACTGACTTATGAACATATAAGCTGGAGCTTTTAACCTCATGAACTCCTTTTTTAAGGAACAATTTTGATTTTGGGAAGAACAAGTTCTCTCTTTATTTAAAAAAAAAGCTTCCAAGCAGTGTCTCATTTTAAACTTTGTATCCAACTTCTGAGCTACAATAACTCGCTGCTAGCTGTAGCCCTGTTTAGAAGAGAAATCCAAAAGACTGTTATCAATCTTCTCAAACGACTTTGGAGCAATTTTCACAATTTCTTCAGCCACATTCCTATCATACAACTGGTTGACATGCAGGGAGTTGTGTTACCCAAATCAAGAAATGTATTATTTAATGATCCTCTATATTTCCAGATTCATGTTTAAACATCTGTTAGCACTGTGAAACGAAGCCCTGATTCATCATAAAACATACTAAGACAAACAGCAGCTTGGAAATCATTCGCATCCACCACCTGCAGCAGCCGCTGTGTTTCACATTTTTTTCCCCTCAAGTGCAGCGTCATCTTTTCTCCCATCAGCTCACACCCCATGTTTGCTGATATAATGAGCTTTTTAAGATTTGCTTCAAATGTAAAGTGCATTATAAATAAAATGTATTATTATTATCATGAAGAGGGCAGATTTTAATAAGCGTATTAACGATACTAAAGCATGCCAAATTCAATTAACTGATCCATGTGCTGAAATGAATGTAAAGTGCAATGCGGGTAACAAGTCTGGGTTTCATGTTGTTGTGGGTGGTACATGGTTCTGTGTGAATACTCAACCTCGACTGAGTGAAAGTGATTTCACTTGCTGTTCTTTCAGATGAAACACTCCATCTGTCTCATTCAGCAGGTTTGGCAAGTTTCCACCACGATTCAGAAAACAAATCTATTGGTCATCTGCCCACAAAGAGAACTGCTCAGTGACAGCAGCTTAAGATGCACTCGGTGTGCTGCTTATAGGTTTCCATTTGAGTTCCATTTCAGTAGGACAATAAAATCAGTTGACCGACACGTTTTATCCTTTAGAAATGCTGTCTTTGTAATTTAACTTTCAAAGACGGTACATATTTGTATGACCTGACTTTATTTTTGAGAGCATGTCACGTGATAATTGTCTTTAAAGGGAAAATATGTAACTTTAAAATAACAGTTTCAAAGGATGATTTGATTGCACAATAACTATCAACACGGAGAAATGCGTCTCTACCATGTCTGCAGCACGGCCCGATTGCCTGTTCACTGTGCTATGTCACTTTGGCAGCAGGCCGAGGTCATCTCATGAAAAGTGTGTACAACTTTTCAGCACTAGTTCACCCAGCAGCCTTGATTTTAACGAGAAGCCAGTTAACCTGTAGCTTTATGTTTTGATTCAATGGCTAAGGCTAAGAGTCAGAAGTGTACAGTGACAGATGATGCTAAGAAGAGAAAACAGAGAGTGACCGATCCAGAAGCAGAGTGTACATCCCTGCAGATAATATTCATAACAGCTGCAGATATATAATTTAAGTAATTCTTGATTGGTTGCTTACTCATTTACCAATTTGCTAATAATCATTAGCTTCTATTTAAAAGTTGATTTAGAGTTACTGTCAGGTTCGGTAAAATCACACAGTGAGATGACCCAGAGGCAGACCTTTATGAAAACAAAACGCGAAAACAAAGAGCTTGCATTGATAAGTCCTGGAATCAAGTGTTAGACAAAAGGTCTAACTATAAAAACAGTAGAAAAGTAGAGGTGACACAAAGGGGAGGGAACGAAGAGAATACACACTGGATAATCATACATAAGTTAGGTTTAAAAGACACCGGTGAAAACATCAAAGATCAGGCACACATTTAAAAATTTGTGGAAACAAGGTGAGGCATATTTTTGTAGTTATATTATTATAAATTGACAGATTGTGCCAGACATGACAAAACCAGACATGAACCACGGGGCAAGAAGTTAACAAATAAAACAGGAATCACTAAAAGACCGTACTTGGGACTTTGGCAGTTTCTAGTGGTTCATTAGCCACATTGATAAATATATTTTATTTATCATGTTAAATTAAACATATTCATACTCAAATGCCCTCACTTTACAGCCCCTGTGACATGCTGAAGTGGGTGTTATTTGTTTTCAGTTCTGTATGATAGCAAGGCTCACTCCACAGTGTCAGCCCTGTAACATACTGACGAACATCAATTTAAAGTGTTACATAAATCCTCTCTGCTGAAGGCAATGAGCAGGCTGTAATTACTCTTCTGCATTTTACATGTCAATGTCCTCGGCCTATGAATAAATGTTTATGTAGATTACATTACAAATCTACTTACTCATAAAATAGAAGCATTAAAATAAAGAACCGCTGTTTATTCATAATGTTATGGATGCATTAGAAAGAGTTTTGCACAGTATGTTATCCACATTTACTTGTTTTCTCGTTTCCTTGCTTTTGCTTGAACAGACCCACAGTCCCACAGAGTAGATAAGCTCTCCACACATGGACTGATCTTGCACTAGGGGGCACTGCGTCAAACAGCAGCAGTTTTTTAATCCTCTTACTATAGTTTAGAAGAAAAAATAGACACTTTGGGTTTTGAGCCCAGAGCAGCGTTACATGGACAATTATTGACCAAATTCGAGAAGATTACCATGGAAACGCTTAGGCCATGTGCTACTGTTTGTTGACGACATATATAGAGATGAGCTGAGTGTATTCTGCCATACACGTTCAGAAAAATGCAATAGCTGCCGTGAACATATTTATACATCAAATGTATGTCCGTGATAGGTATATACCGTATGCATGCATACATAGTGCTAAATGAAGACACATGATTACACAGCTGAATAACATTCTGCCATATTTGTTGATTTGTTCATTAGCTCTGGACGTGTTTCTACACACAGAATCAACCAACACATGTGTTTGCTTTTTGTTAATAATACTGCTGCATGTCATTTTAAATTACTAGCTTTAGTGTCAGACTTTTTTTATTCAAAGTTAATTGACACACTTAATGCCACATTAAGAAAGGATTTGGTGAGTCCTTTGAGTGATCTACTTATTCATTGTCAATGTATCTGCATTGGGTCAAAATTAACTGTGACATGTCAAAGCTTTTAAAAAATGTATTTTTGTAGTTAGCTTATTATAAATTATCAGATTGTGCCAGATATTCCTCCAGGTGTACATCAGTTGTAAGAATATCCATTCCAGTGCGTGAGACAGGGAGCTCTGAATAAACCTGTTTCACAAGAGGGCCACTTTTAGACAAAGTGTCAGGTATAGCATACTGTTCTTTATGAAAAGGTCTATAAATACCTTCTAGCAGGTGGCTCAAGCCTGCGTGGCCCATCTGCTGCCTAAAACCTCAAAAAACAGTGAAGCAGCGTGAGTGTGTGTGTGTGTGTGCAGACACACACACACACACACACACACACACTCACCTTAAGGTGATCATGAGTGTTATTATTTCTTTTGACCTTATTGTTGCCCCTTTACATTGAAGACCCTATGAACCTTATGCAACATACACTGCCAATAATAACTGCTCGCACCATAACCCTAATGAGATAGGTGTGTGTATGTTCATATGTGTGTGTGTGTGTGTGTGCGTGTGTTTCCAACCAGTCGGTCCATGTGATGATACAACACAATAAGCCTCTTAGGTCTAATCCCGTCCCATTGGGAGGGGGGTGTCTCACACATGCTCATACTCTCTCTCTCTCTCTCCCTCTCACACTCTCTCTCTCTTGCTCTCTCTTGCTCTCTCTCTCTCTCTCTCACACACACACACACACACACACACACACACACACACACACACACACATAACAAAACACAAGCACAGAGTGGCATCTTCAAATGTATCATCCTGATCAGGGTACTTGGTTTTCTGTCTTCTAGTGGGCATGTAAGCAGTATTATAAGGAGAATTGTGTAAATGGACTTGGTTCAGCACTTTTCTCTTCTGTCTACTCAAAGCACTTTTCACACACATTCACACACTGATGGCACATGCTTCAATGTAGTTTTGTCAATTTTAGCTCATCCCATTCACATTCAGACTCTGCTGACGTAGCAGTGGGAGCAATTTGGGGTTTAGTCTCTTGCCCAAGGACACTTCAGCATGAGGCTACAAGGGCTGGGGATCAAGGAGAGATGATCCACTGAACCACAGCCCCGGCACCAGCTGCCTGTCTGTTGTGTGTTTTGCTGTTCAATCTTTTGTTTTGGTATAAGGTGTATGTAACACTCTGCATTCAAATTGTATACTTATCAAGTTCAAACCATTCATTTTATTTTGAAATCTATCAAATTAAAACCCATTTGCTTTTAGACTTGCAAAAACTGAAATCAGGTGAACAACATTAGACAAACTTAACAAGTTGGTATAAAGATATGTGGTAATGACTCGGACATTATTGCTGCTCCTGACGTAAAAAATAAATAAATATTCCGATTGAATGTTGTTGTTGATTTCTTTTTCGTTTTCTAATAAAAAATATGGATAGAAGGTGCCATACATTACAGTAAATGTGAAATATATTCAAACACAGACCAGAAAGATTGAAATTGACTCTTTTTACTTTATAGATTGCCTAGGTGTTGTGTATAAATTGGCTCAGAAGAAGTACTTGGAGGGTGTGTACTTACTGAGACTTCTCAAGCAAATGTTCTGATGTGTGAGGTTACTGAGGGAAGCATTTTAATTCAACATTAGGTGAATGAGTTAAGTATGGAGCAGATATTCAGAGGTGCACAACAACAGATATGAATGTATCTTTTTCTGTATGAGAATAGCCCCTAAATGATGTTTTGTCCCTCTATTTTCCAGATTATCTTTGTTCTCCAGAAGAAAATGTCCACATGATTGACTTCACCAGGTTTAAGATCCGCGACATGGAAACAGGAGGTGTCCTCTTTGAGATCACTAAACCTCCAACACCAGGTCAGACCACACATTTTATAAAACATTCTCAAACATTTGAGTTAAAGTCTATGTTTTGTAACATGTCAGCCACTTCTTTTCTTTCATGTTTTTGTCTGATATATTCAAATGTTGTTTTACGTATTAACTGTTATTGTCTGTCTTTCCTTCAGCAGGAGGCAGAAAGCAGTGTGACCCCAACGCCGGACGCTTTGTCCGATACCAGTTCACCCCAGCATTCCTGCAGTTGCGGCAGGTTGGAGCGACGTAAGTCAACTTTCCTGTGTGTTTTTTTTTACACTCAAATGAAAACACTGATGAATCAAATGACATTCTGTAGACTGCCGCACTGACAGAAGACAGACACCGCATGTAGGAGGTATGTGGGTGTGAGTGTGGGTTGACAGGCTGACGAGCATGAGTGTGAACACAGAGCAGGCCAGACCCCCCACTGAGTCAGGGACCAAATATCTGTCAGTGCTTCTGTGCCGTGTTCATCATCAGACTCCTACTCTGTGACTGGTTTCAATCCAACTCATGAATCTAGATAATATTATGGCTTTATGGAGAGCTGGATGTAATATTTAAAGAGTGTGTCGTGCACCAGGTAATGGGACAGGATTTATGTTAGTGTTGAGCATAAAACTCCATAAAAGATTTTTCATATTGAAGGCCAGTTTTAAGCAGAGTCTTTTTATCTACAATTATTTTGTTTAGTTTTGGCCTTGAAAATCCTACGTAAGTCTAACGGGTTGTTTTTTTCTATTTCTGGCCAAGTTAAGTAATTAAAGAGTCTGGATCAACTGTTGGCTTATTTGCAACCTGTTTGATTGGCTGATTCCATGTTTTTCTTGCCCCAGCTGACCTTGTTGTTATGGTTGTATTTTGGTAAGTGCAATGTTGTCGTACCTTAAAGAGGTGACTGAAAAAAAAACAAAAAAACAAGGCTAAAGTTGAAATAAACTGCATTATAAACAGAAAGCAAGCTAAAGTTTGATTAGTTGTCCAACAGCAAAAGACTAAAAGCAATTCATAAAATACATTTTGTCTGGCGTCTTCCTTAGTTACTTTCTTTTTGTCTCTTCTTAGCCTCCTCTGCTTTATTATCTTTACCTCTGACATGTTGTTGTTGTAATGAGAATACAAGGGCTAGCTTTTTCTATAATAGGTTTAGCTGAGTGACTTAACAACATCATATACCTCTCTCACAACCATGCCTCTTATAATGGAGAACTTCAAGTCTTAATATACGTTGCGATTTAAACGGATGTCTTCTATAAAAATGCACCAGCTTTGATCCAGTGGGTAGGATGTGGATGAAAGAGGTGTAATAACAAGTCTACATACCATCAAAATCATTTTTAAAAGTGTTTTTTTAGATCAAAACATTGCAAAATGTTTGAGCCGTGTTTTAAATACATATTAAAATGTATTACAGTATATGATAAAATGTACCTATTTATTGAGCATCCCAAGTTTGATAATGAATCCCCCCCACCCTCCCTGTTTGTGCAGAGTGGAGTTCACAGTCGGTGACACACCCATCAACAACTTCCGCATGATTGAGAGACACTACTTCCGCGATCAGCTGCTCAAGAGCTTTGATTTCGAGTTCGGCTTCTGCATGCCCAGCAGCAAGAACACATGCGAGCACATCTACGAGTTCCCTGCTTTGTCTGAAGATATCAGTGAGTTTCACAAACATACGTCACTGCGAGAGAAAAAATACACCCACACAGACGTTTTATGAGATCTAACAGGATTTACTGATGCAGATCCTGCGTGTTGTGTGTCTCTTCTTTTCCTCCCAGTGCGAGAGATGATCCTGCACCCTTATGAGACGCAGTCTGACAGCTTCTACTTTGTCGACAACAAGCTGGTGATGCATAACAAGGCAGATTATTCCTACAGTGGGGGTCCATAGAAGAAAACCACCCTTCACCTCTCCCTGTTCTAGACATTTTCCATAATCCATGTTCCTCTTCAGGACCAGAAAAACAAGAAATATGGACTGATGGACACACTCTTTTCTCTCTATTGTTAACTCAATGATTTTACATTCAGGTTTTCAGCTGCCAGACCAATAGATTTTCTCCCTTTGCCTCTTTGCAGGAACATTGAATTCTAGCAGTTTTAGCATCTGTGTGTGTGTGTGTGTGTGTGTGTGTGTGTGTGTGTGTGTGTGTGTGTGTAATAGAGAGAGAGAGAGAGAGAGAGAGAGAGAGAGAGTGGGCAGCAAACACATGCAGTGTCGGTACATGCTGTTGATTTCAGTCTGTGTACAAGTGTTCCTCTTGATCATCACGAAAACTTTCATTTGCATTTTGTAGGTTGTGATAGAGATACATAGGAAGGGGAAAAAAAATGGGACAAAGTGTTATTTGTCTTCACTACACCAGACAGAAACACTTGGACACAAAGAAAGAAAAATAAGTTCACCTAAATGGTTTGATTGTCAAATAAACCCCTTAAAGATTAGCATTCAGCTAGTTTGTATAGGAATCTTACTCCTAAAGTTTCTTGAAATTCAAGTAGCACACATCTGAATGACTTTAGTCTGCCATCGTTCATTTGAATGACAAACAGAAATGTGTACTTTGTCTATGTGAGTGTGTCATTTGTTGTATGTTTTCATAGTACTACGAAGATTACTTCAGGAGTGTCTTTTTGAATAAATAGCCATTTTAAAGTGTCAGACACCTACTTTAGCTGAAAGTCAGATACCAGTTTTGTTATCCGGTAAATTCTCTCTAGTTCTAACACTGTGTATACTTTAATTATGACAAATGTTTTAATTGCAAAATTGAAAAGTATGTAAAGTTTTGACAGCAGAAATTCCATCACTGCAATAAATATGGGATTTTTTTTCGAATATCTTGTTATCATTCTTTTTTTTACAGAATATGAAACATTGCACTGAATAAAGACTGTTTACAGTGAAATAAAGACATAGTTAATATATACATAAGAGGTGTTGTACTGGGATTGTGTTCTTGATTTTCTGTTTATTGCTGAATTTATTTGATCACCCTTGTTTCCCATGTGGTTTGTGATTCATGCAGTCTAAATGTGTACCATATCTTGACATATATATATATATATATATATATATATATATATATATATATATGTATGCATATACATTCATCATATCTTGTTGACAACAACAATCACTTTAAAAGCCAAGATTAAAGATTCTCACATGTTGTAAGAAATAAAATAAAAACGTATTACTTTTGCTATCAGTTTTTTAGTCTAACAATTTTTGTGGTTGTTAAAGTCAATCTTAAGTTTTTTATTTTACAAATTAAATTGTTATCTATGAAGCTGCAAATATTGCGTTATAGTTTAATAGAACGCTGCTTGAAACAAAGTGTCTACCACACCACCTGAACACTAAATGATGATTGATAGTAACACGTTTATTAAGCACCCTCAGTGTCATACTCTGTGCTTGCTGGGGAAGTTTAAAATAAGCAAACACATTTTTGATTCACTAAAAAAATGTATCAGATTTATTTTAAAATAACACTTTGCAACCAGTTCATAACTTAATACTTTTACATAAACAAAGGTAGCTTCTACTAAGTAGCCATAAGTGTTAAAATGACACCTGTTACATAAAGCAGGTGGTCTATGTTTTTTTTTTTTTCTTTTGTATGTTGGGCTATCTAAAGTTGAGAACAAACGTACTAAAATGTGCAGAGCATGTAAGAGAAGTGAATAATTATTTAAATTATATCGTAAGTAAATAAAGGAGAACCCTTATTTATAATAAGCTGAATGTCAGAAAGGGTCTCTACTGCCACCTTCTGGAAGTACAGTCTTACTGCAACGTTGCCATTACTGTCAACATTCAAGAATCCATGTTTCCAACATCAGAGTCTATTCACAAAATATCCAATTCATTAGTTTTATATGTTTATACAAACATTATATTTTAATTGTTTTATGAGAAGTTCAAAGCTGCTAACTGCAGCTGAAATCAACGCTACGAAACTTTGGAGAGTGAAACATAATTGTTCACTTTTTTGCCGTTAGTTAAACAATGATCTGGACCTGTAAAGCTCAGGAGGGTTGCAGATATGTGTAATTATTGTCTCTAAGTTCACCACTATAAGTGATTTATTTCACACTGTCTACACATTGTTTCACATTTTATTTAATACAACGTTCTAAAAAAAAAGGGTTAGGGTTATAGTAAGGTGCTTTAGCAGAAGACATACTGAAACAAGTTATGTGCACTTTTCATTGATTTAGAGAGCTAAACGGCCGGACAGAAATACATTTAAATTCAACATGAAATAGGATTTACAAATGACACATTTAGACATCTATTATTCAAATTAATACCACAATAATGCAAAATGTGTTAACTTTTAGAAAGACAATAAATAACTAGTTTCACAACATAACCATTAACAATATTTGTAACCCTGTCCACTGGTTCGCTTAATCAGACCTATTTTTGATAATTACCAATCCACGATGAGAAACACAGGAGCTGCTGCAAATGAAAAACATATGACAAGAAAGACTACTAATATCATTACTAATAAAAACAGACAGACATGATCCAAAAGTAGCTCTTATTTGATCAGCTGTACTTGTTGTGAGAACTGAAATCTTTAAACCTACTCCCCTAGCAGAGTCTGTTACACAATGGAGACAGGGGTTAAGATGAGTTAATTAACCACCCAGCTAATACTGTGGCATGATACTGCCTACATTTTTTACAATTCAGATTAATCTTTACATAAGGGAGATTGGTGTTGTACAAGAAGAGATCAGGTACCCAGCAGGGCTATCCACCCCTGAATAAACCCCAGGATGGAGTTCGTTCAACAAACAGCCATGCTGCTCTGAGTGTCGTCCACCTTCCATGTTTCCATCCTCATACCCTGCCTTGTGTTGACAGACAGTCGTCTCACTAACAGGAAGAGGTGTTATCTGTAAGAAGCTTCTCTGCAGGGCAGAGGTCGTGGTCGGGGTTGTGGTGGTAACTTGGGCATCCGATACAAGGCTTTCGTTCTTTAGCTCCTCCCACAAGTTACCTGAGAAAATAAAGACAGGTGGTTTTATTTGAGTATTGTTTAATAGCAAACAATTGTGTTTGACGTAACCACAGGAACTAACTTCTCAGGCATTTTCTTAAGAAGGAGGCAACATGTTGGCTCACAAACACACAGTTATAACTCAACCCTGACATGTACATGGAGCAGAGCCATTACCCTTAAGGGTACTCTTCAAAAAAAAGGTTTGAATCACACAGTTGTTTTTACCCAAGAAGAAATGTTGGCTTCAATCACAGAGGAGGCCAACATTTGAACTTCTTGTTTTTTTTTTTTTTATCTTTCATACTGTCTACTCACATACCTTGCAGCTGAAGATCAGTCAGACTCGGGTCCAGCATGTCAATGTCATAACTGGCATCTCCCTCCAACAGAAAGTCCTGAATGCTCCTACGACCAGTGCTGTAATCAGCTTGCGGGGCTGCGTTGTAAACAGGCGGCATCTTTTGGGCCACGGTTGAGTTCAGGCTTCCAGGGGCTATCGGCTGTCCACAGGGTGAGTACAGGTCAAATGAGTTGCTGAGATGAGCGGTTCCAGAGGGAAGGTAGCAGGCCTGCTGGGTTTGAATATTTGCATACTGGGAATGCAGAATGGGTAGGCAGGGTGGTTGAAGCTGGGCTGGGTTGCAGGATAAGGAGGTGATGCTGTAGGTAGGGGTCCCTCTGGATAACAAAGCTGAGTTGGTGTAAGGTGGCAATGACCTGAATTTTTCAGGTCTCTCTCCCAGTAAGCGGTCAAGGTCTTCTGTAGGAAATATTTTGAGTGCCAAAGTTTGAATCAAACGAGATTTACTTAAGATAACCAAACAGCTTTGAGAAGAAACTGATTAAAAGGTTAAATAATCTGCAAAATATATCTGTTCTTTTTTAATCTATTACTGCAAAGAATTCAAGGTAAAATCAACTGTCTAATAACTAAAAACTTAATTTGCTTAAAGTTCTGTCTTTGGTAATTTCTGTAAGTTTTTGGGACCAACCTGGCTTTGCCATGCTCCTGCGAACAGTGACAGGGTCCTTGCGGCGCCACTTGTGCAGCTCTTCCTGCATTTTCTCCACCTTGGCTGGATTGAGAGCCCACAGACAGCCTTTACGGGACGAGTTCCCATTTTTGTTTTCTACCTTCACAAAGCACTTGTTCAGGGAGAGGTTGTGACGTACAGAGTTCTTCCATCCATCTGGAGCTGTCTGGAAACAGGGAGGGTTGTTTGGATGCAGAAAAGATGTGGGGGTGAAAGGGTGTCAAAAAAATGCTCAGGGAAGAATCAGGTGCATTTGCCACAACGATTACGTGGGGTCATCAAAAACTACAAAATGGACATTTAGCTAGGGGATGATAATCCAGTAGTTAAAACATACACCACAACGCATTGACCATTGTATGATGAGGTACTTTAAAGAACTACATTCCAGGATTCACAGCGGCAGTTTTTTGGGTGAGAAAAAGAGACAGGAGCCCTTACACTGTGCGCTGACTACAGGTGGTTTAACAAAGAGAAGACAGGCATCCCATACTACATATTCAAGAGATCTTTGATGGTCTTGATGGAAACGCTTGGTTCAACAGGCTGGACCAAGGAATAGCTTATCACCAACCTAGTGTCAGTAAGGATTCAAAAAAGCTCATTTCATAACCCCAAGGGCGCTGTATGAATCAACACAATCCCTTTGCCGTCACAAATGCGGCCTCAGCCTTTCAAAGCAGTATGGAAGAGAGCCTAGAAGGTCTCAGGGGCAAAATATGCATTCCATACTTTGTTGATGTCTTAGTCTACCCATCAGTACAATATTCAAGCAGAACGTTGAGGATGTGAGATCAGTCCTCAAACGACAACATGTCTGGGGAATGAAACTGAGAGGAGACAAATGTGACCTTTTCAAGAAGGAGCCAATAGCTAACGGATGGACAATAAGGAAATTGCTGGAGTACAGACACTCAAAACAAACCCTCGGTCAAATATTAAAGACCTGTGTAAACTTCTGGGTTACAGAGTTATGTCCAAGCAAAATGCCTGTATGGCCTACTTTCAAAAGATACAGACTCAAGTCCTCAGTCAAAGTGTAACTTCCGGTCAGCAAAGGCAGGACAGGTCCCCCACATCAGGAAATAGTGTGGACTGAAACTCACCAAAACCCTTTTACCTAACTTGTTCATGTTTTTAGTAACCCACCTGTAATAGTGTATGTGAGGATCCATTATATTCTTCATAACAATGCTTCAGAAAATGGGACCGGTACACCCAGATCACACATCATTTCTACAGTTTACATTTTAAGGCATGGCTTAGAAATACCTAGTGCTGAATATTTCACCTATGTCCTGCAACTCCTGAGTTTTATCTACTCCAGATGCAGTGTTAGCATTTTAGCTATTTTGGTTGACTGTTTTTCAGCAAACTTCCCCAAAAAGTTTACTCACACAGATTCAGCTCCTTTCTTTTCTTGATTAAGAAATAAACTTCATCCTGAGTCAATCTACTGATTTAAAGAGTAAGTACGTACGCTGAACAAAAATAGCAAATCAACACTTTTGTTCTTGCTCCAATTTTCACGATTTAAAATCAAAGTTTTAAGACTTTTTTTTATGAAAACAAGTACGCCGTTTTCTCTCAAATTTCTTTACACAATTGTTTACATATGTTAGTGAGCTCTTCTCCTTTGCCAAGATAATCCATCCACCTAACAGTTGTGGCATATCAAGATGATAATTAAACATGATTATTGCACCGGTGTGCCTTAGGCTGGTCTTAATGAAAGGCCACTCTTAAATGTGCAGTTATATCTTAAAAAGAGACATTTATTAGGCACTGATCTCAGATGTGTAGGGGGGTTCAAAAAACATGTCAGTATCACCATTTGCCTCATGCAGTGCAACACATCTTCTTCGCATAGAGTTGATCATGTTGTTGATTGTGGTCTTTGGTTTGGTGGTCCACTCCTCTTCAATGGCTATGCCAAGTTGTTGGATATTGGCAGGAACTCGAACACAACGTCTTGTTCGTCAATTCAGAGCATCCCAAAAGTGCTGAATGGGTTACATGTCCGGTGGGTATGCAGGCTATGCAAGAACTGGGATGTTTTTAGCTTCAGGAGTTGTGTACATGGGGCCGTGCATTATCATGCTGCAATCATGATGGTGGATGAATGGCACAACAAGAGGCCTCAGGATCAAGTCAAAGCATCTCTGTGCATTCAAAATGCCATCAATAAAATGCACCTGTGTTCGTTGTCAGTAGAATATGCATGTCCAGTTGGTGACAAGAACTTGGCAGCTTTATCTCAACTGGGATGTGTCCTCGTATTGGGGGTTGATTAATCCACAACCAAGACCATGAAGGCTGCTGTGAGGGGTTCGATGTAAAAGCTAAGAGGTTCTCCACTTCCACAATTAGGGTGTATTTGGCAGCTATCTGTACAAATGTTTTTAAAAATCAATGAAGACTTTGTTGAGATATTTTAGTCAAGTAGAAGTTGTGAGCGAAACAACTGATAGACTAATGTAACAATCCCTTGAGCCTTGTAGCTAGTGTTGCTAAAAAAGGAACCCTAAGGTTTAACAGAAGAACCCCTGATTCATTTCTGTTTTATCTTTACACAATAAAATATGAATGCCCTATTTGTCTTAATCTGTGTGGTGAATGCCCTGTTCTCTGTTCCCTTATCTTTTTTAATTTAGAGTAAAGACAAGGGTACTCAAAGCTCTCACCCAATGCCTGACTGTGTCTCAAGGTGAACTCTCTTTTAAAATGAAATACAGATACCAGGATCCCTGCCCTACCTGGAGGGAATAATAAAATGTGTATTAATTTTCTACCATCTGCAACGTATATCTGACATCTGCATGCCTTAGCAAGTGTCCATTGAACTGAAATGAACTAGGAGATACTTGAACGCATTAAGAATGTATTCAGTTGTATCTTAAAAAATCTGAGCCTTTGCTTTAAGGACTATGTCTTTCCTTGGTGTATTACTAATCATCTGCCTCATTTATTTTCTGGCCCTGCAGCCTGAGTTTAATGTGACAGGCAGCTGTTTGGAAAGCGGCCATCTATAGAGCGCCTTCTTGAATATGATGGCAACAGGTCTTTGAGCTCTTTCCAGTGGTGGGTCTGAACTTATTTAATACATAGATACCTGGAATCCTTTAAAAAATGAAGACTATTTGTATCAATCCAAACACAGGTTCAACTCTGCAGCTGGCTGATTTGTCCAAAATAAAAACAAAGGGTATAACATTTTTCTTGAAGTATCTTCTCAACAATACTTTACTTCTCTATCCCAGCTATATCCTTCCAAACCATTTGTGTACACACACACACACACACACAAACTCAATTAAATGCATTCCCTTATTTTACTCTGCATGCCAGCCTCATGTTCAAAGAGGTTTTACCCAGTTGGTCTTGTGTCACCCAGCTGTAGGTTAATTGCTTTCCATGTGCATCATCACACAAGAGGGATTTCATGCGAGTAATTAGTGTCAAATACAACACTGCTGTGGTTTGGATAATCTTGTGCTTACAAACCTGAAGGAGAAGTTTTAAGATAATGATGAAGACTAATTCAAAGGTGAAGCCAATTGTCTGCTGCGTAGTTACAAATGACAGTCAGTGCAAAAAAACAAATAGATGAAACTTTGCCCCAGGCTACAATAATGTACATAAATACACTTCTGGGCAAACATTTATTTTGGTCTTTTTATGTAATGATAGGATGGAATTATTATGGGCCTGTGACAACAAGAGATAGCTGAATGTTTTGTCTTCCTTTCTTCTTCCTTTAATCTTTTAAGCATTGGATTGGTTAATTGATTGTGGGGTATAAAGAAACTTTCAAATATGTCAATAAAAAGCTTCTTGGAAATTCTGACAATTCTAATTCTCATCTAAACCAACAGGGCACTGGATAGCCTAGAGGTTATATCGTAAACCCCAGAGGCTGTACAGGTAGTTCCTGAAGGGGACAGCTCTGGTTCAACTCTGATCCATGGCACGTTGTCACTTCATTCCTTGCTCTCTCACCTAGAAGTCATACTCCGTTCACAGTCCTCTCCAATAAAGGCATTTAAAGCCGCAAATACAACCATTATAAAAAACATGCAGTACCTAAGCTGGCTGGAGAACTTGTGTAAAAACAGTGTATTAAAAAATGCTTAAGCAGGTAATTAAATGGAAAATAACTTTCAGTTCTATTATCATTCTGGAAACACCATAGAAACAGCAAAGACTGTATTTAAGAAGTAGACTAACCTTTTGTATCAGAAGGGAAGATAATGCAGAAGTGCCGTAATTTGGTGAAGAGAATTGGCCTACTTCTCATTTGATGTATTACCTCACAGAAAAATTTCTCAGTGAGTTTGATCTCATTCCTAGTTCCAATTCTTTTTTTTTATCTCAACATGGAGTTCATTTGGTAAAGTATGGTTCCATTTAGAGTTAAACCATTACTAAATCAAGTTTGACTTTACAGCGAGGCCACGTGATTGAGAAGTCCTTACCACAGCGAACTGTCAACCAGGATTGAAATATAGCAACATGTAACCAATCTGCTGTTACTTTTTGCTCCAAAACACCAAGATGGCAGGTGTTTCAAAATGTGAATTGACAAACCAATGGATTACATTCATGTGGATTCTTCAGTTGCTTTTGTATATACAATCTCACTAAGATTAGTTGGGAGCTTGGAGACTCTGGAGCTGAATAATTGTATAGGTTGTTTGATTTGCACAAGAAAGAAACTATTTTGCTTTCGCCCCTGCTGAACCAGACTTTTTAAAATTAGTTGTGTTAACTTTAGAATACAATGAGCATTAATTGATACCTTAAAGTAGGGGAAGTGTTCAGTCATGAAGCTGTAGATCTCACTGACTGGCAGGCTTCCTGTTTTACTGTTCCTCAGAGACATGAAGATCAAGATGCTGGAGTCATGAAGGGAAAAAAATAACATTGTTTTTCAATAATCACTGGAATGAGCTAGTTTTCTTATATTTTGAAGAAAACAATCACAGCAGGTCATAGTCACATAAACAACACATTGTTGCCTTTATTATAAATATGAATTAAAGATTGACAAAAGTATGAATGTTGTTACCTGTATGAATAAATGGGCTTGGGGAAGAGGGACTGTGTGGGGCTCTCCTGGTGAGACTGACTTGAGAAACTTTGGAGAGAATACTTTGAACTGTTGGATTGATCATTATTCGTGAGAAGTCGGGAAGAAACCTGTGGAGGACAAAAAACAAACAGTTAACAGGTGTGGTTCAAAGATAATTTTTATGGTTGTCCTTTTATTTGATTTGCTGAATCACATTTATTGATCCATAAACTGTTATTATAAAGCTTTCCTGATCCTAGTGTCTATCCAATTGTGTTTTGATAATGAAAATAATTTTGTCTTATCTCTGTCAAAACCATAAGTCAGTAAACAGACAGACCTGTTGTAGAGGGCTCGATGAGCTGTAATTTGGAAAGCTCTGAGACAGGAAACAGGAAGGATCTTCTGTGTAAGAACTCTGCAAATAAAAGGGAAAGGGAGATTATTTATTGGAGCTATGTAGACCGTGTTAATCCAGTTCAAATGTTTGAAAAAGTGAGTAAAACATTGACCAGGAATTTATTTTGTTCCATCCTTAATGGATGGAGTTTTTGGCCATTTGGAGGCAGCAGAAACAAGTTGTAAACACCACACTGACAAAAACAGTTGGCTGTTGACGCATTAAGCAGTATGGTAGCACAGAAACCTTTGATCCCATCACCGCCTGACTATGCTTTAGCCTCTGGGAGGGTGCCGCCATCTTTTTGGGCTTTTTTTTGTAGCCTGCAATATTTCAAGACTTCCTTTACTATATGTTCTTCAAGGATAAGGCTGACAAGAAGCTTTAGGATTACATTTTAGTTCCGAGATAACTTCTACAACAGGGTTGTTAGCTGAATTCGTATGCAGATGGATATTTATTTATAGATGTGAGTAAAGATGTGTTGTTGTTTTTCTTCTTTCTAAATATTCAGTCATGTGAAAACCAGAAGGCTTTTGATAAACTCTTTAGATTCTGTATTTGTATGCTGTATTTGTAGTAGAGCTAGCTAATAAAACTACAAAAATAGATTTTGTTTTTGCCATTTGGAGGCAGCAGAGAAAAATAGTGAACACAATATTAACATATAATCTTCTTTTAAGTCGATATGGTGGACAAACAGAATGTTATTTACACTTCCAGCAGTTAGGGAGGTCCTTTTACTCATTTGGAGACCAATGTTTTTCTTTTAGATCTGTTTTTTAACTCTACAAACTTTTGAGATTAAATCTGACTCTATAGCTACTTTATGTTTCACTTAGATCACTATAGTTTCCTTAAACTAAAGTAATAGGTGAGGGTAAAATGAGTTTACCATTACTCTAGAAACCTGAACGCCCCCGTTGTACTGGTCCCAAGATGTTCCTGCTTCGTCTTTTGAGCTGTGTGAACAAGTGTCGGGGCGGTACTCGTCCTGCACACAGCTGAAGGAAGAGGAGCACTGTCTGAGACCATCTGAAGTCATCCCTGCTCCGTCGCTGAATTGTCGTTGGTATGGGTGGTAATGGTCTGAGCCGATAGGGCCTCGTCTCAGTGTTGATCCTGACCCAGACATGGTGGTCTCACCTGTGCTGTGCCTCCGGTCAGCAGCTCCAGGTCTTAAGCTGAAGGTGTTGCTCTCCTGCTGGGAAAGTCAGACGTCCTTGCCCTCTTTAGTCGATGTTGTGATGATCATCACAGTGAGTACAAAAGTTAAGGACAATCTACACTAACTGTTGACAAACCAATCAGGGCTGGGCTTAATGTGTAAATCCTGTCTCAAATCCCATTTCTGGACCAGGAAGCTGCCAAGATGCTTACTGTGAATCCCCTGAGGCCATTAAAACCTCCTGTCTGATAGTAAATAAACTGTTCCAGCCAGTGCTGTTCATAAACATTGTAAAATTATAGAACCATAATATCTGGGGTAGGAGAAAACATATGATGACACGATACTTACAATATGTCAAAAGAGTAGTGAGACATTAAGGGGAAGTTAGATTGTCGCTGTATTTCTAAAAGACACTACAGTCAAGAGCCAGTGAGCTTAACTGAGTAGACGGACCGAAAGGCAGGGAGCACACTTGGACGATTTTTAATTCTCAGCTCTTAATGAGAAAGCAAATAAGCATGTTGACAATGTGTCTAATTCTTTATTTGAGGGTTACTTGTTGAAATTCTTTGTGGAGGATTTGCTCAAATGTAAATACTGCTTATTGACAGGATAAAATGTGTGACCCTGGAAAAGCCATGTAAAGCAAATATATTTGTCATTCTTATTTGATTCACAAGCACCCTGTTCAGACAAAACAAAAAGTCTGTAAATGATGAAGTAGAAATTAAGCATTTGTAACTCAAAGCAGACTGAGAGCTGTTTTTTATTTCCAGTGACACACAGAAAAGGCTATTTTGGGTTTAAAAGAAATGGCCTGGGGCACTTCAGTACCTGTGATTCTGCCATCTTTTGGCAGGAGGTCCCACAGGGTTCACAGGTGTGCAGGTTGACCTGAGGGTTTAATCTTATAGACTTGCTGCTGCTGCTGCTGCTGCCGCTGCTGGAGAATAGTGAGTTTGACTTTCTGCTCCAAAATCTGCTCCTGTGAGGAGACAAAAACAAACATAGTTTGAGTTGTTGTATGTTTTGCAAGTTTGTAGCAAACTCTGTAGATGTATCTTATAACTAGCTGGCCCACCAGAGGTCTGCATTATTTCAAGTGTAGGATTTGTTTCCATTATTTAGAGGGGGAAGCTGCAAGTTAAATGTTACTGTAGCCTACATAAAGCTCATAAGGGAATAGTCCGACTTCAGGATTCACTTCTTAGCTTTTCTAATGGTATTTATCTTTTCTGTTCATCAGCTCGCTATGGTGGTGGCGGTGTTCTGTCAAGATGTGCTGCTTTTGTCGAAAAATACTACAGTAGCGCAAACTCATAGCAGAGGCAATCCGTATCCCCTATCAAATAATGTTCCCAGTACATAATAACTTTATATTCACCCACAGCGCACGCATTGTCAGACAGCGTGAGCACATTTTGTTAAAAATATCAGGGGAAGTGTATCTCAATAGCCAAATATCACCAATTTATGCTTGCAGATCAGATTGACATTATATAACACTACTACTCGCTGCATTTGCACTGTCAATAACAGGGAAGGTTTTTTTTTTACTCTTGTAAAAACCTTTATTTTTGTGCCTTCATTGGAAAGACAGGACAGTGGATAGAGTTGGAAATTAGGATGGATAGAGTGGGGAATGATATGCAGAAAAAGAGCCAAAGGTCAGATCTGAACCTGTGCCGCCCTCTTGGACTGGATCCTCCGTACATGAAGCACCCAAACTAACCACTCAGCCACCGGCGCCCCTATAACTTTTATTTAAGATTTCAGAGGACGCGTATCTAGATGGATGAAGAACCCCTATCAAGTAATGCTTGCTTGGAAGAACATCTAGGTAGGTGGCACTACGCGTTAGTACACTTTAGGCAGATTTTATTTTGTTACCATTGAACAAAGCTTGGCTGTTAGTTCCAGCTGCATATTTATGAATGTAGTACCATTCTTCTTAGCAAACCCTTGGCAGCAAAGCATTCTACAAGTAGAGAAAGTTTAATTATTATTATTATTATAATAATAATAATAGTAATAATAATGATAATAATAAATTAGATTTATACAGCGCTTTTCTAAATACTCAAAGACGCTTTGACAGGAAACAACAAAAAACAAAGCAAAAACTAAGAGAACAATACAACATAGAAGTAGTGTCGAGGGAAGAGGATGAGAGTCAGTGGTTGTAGGCAGTGATGAAAAGATGAGTTTTTAGGGATTTCTTGTAGGAAGTGAGTGTGGAGGAGTCTCTGATGATTTTAGGGAGAGAGTTCCAGAGGGTGGGAGCGGCAATGGAGAAGGCCCTGTCCCCCCCTAGGACCGAAGATTGGTCCTGCAGCGGGGGGACAGGAGGTTTGCATCCGCAGACCTGAGAGTGCGGGTGGGAGTGTGCCGGTGGAGTAGCTCAGACAGGTAGGGGGAGCCAGGTTGTGGAGGGCTTTGTAGGTGAGGATAAGGAGTTTGAACTGGATACGCTGGGGGATGGGGAGCCAGTGGAGGTCATGAAGAACGGGGGTGATGTGATCTCGGGTGCGGGAGTGTGTGAGAAGTCGAGCAGCTGAGTTCTGAATGTATTGAAGTTTCTTGAGTGTTTTTTGGATGGTGAACCATAGAGGAGACTGTTGCAGTAGTCTGGAGGTGATGAATGAGTTGGTGAGGGTCTCAGCAGCTGAGAATGAGAGTGATGGGCAGAGGTGGGCGATGTTTCTTCGGTGGAAAAAGGCTGTTTAATTTAATGCTTTAAAATTTTGCATAAACAAGACAGAAATAATTAAAATATCAAATGTTTTTTTTCTGATTACACTTTTGATTTATGTTGCTGTTGGCACCAGGCAGGAAGATGATCTTTTGTGTTTTTTGACAAAGCAAACTTTTTGTCACTGATCCCCTGAGATCATGTCAACTGGGTCATTATTCTACTGTAAACCCAGATGATAAATTATACTGTCCTTTGACAGCACGAGTGCAGGCGTGGGAACAGTTGAGATCAATTTCAACAGTTGGTTTTTAAAAACACCAAAGTTTGACATTGAAGGATGTAAATGGCGCAGGGGTCTATCCGGCTGAGTGTAAAGTGTTATCTGATCCCTGCAGAGATGACAGACACGTGGCCTTGGTTCCAGTAAAAGTAACCTCAACCCTTGACATAAACCAAGCTCATTAAAACTGCCAACAAACCATGGCTGTTAGGTCACGTAAAGCCTAATAATGCTGAAGCAGAGAAAGTGGAACTGGCCATGCCTGTCGTGTGTGTGTGTGTGTGTGTGTGTGTGTTTGAGAGGGAAGTAGCAATCAAAGCTTTTTCTGTTCAGATCAAATGAGGCTTAAGTGTCACGTTGAAAGTTGAGAGATTGTCTTTTTTACTACTGTAGCAACAAATCCTCTCCTCAGCTCGACAGACACAACTTCACGAGCCAGAACAGATTCACTTACAGTCAAAGAAGTGGAAACTTAAGCAGTGATGTGCGTGTGTATGTGTAGTAGTAGTACAGTGAACAAATGTTCTTGCCTGAATTACTCACTGAGAAGGATGCACATGTTTTACATGGACAGATGTATTTGTGCCTCTGTAGTGAACATACTCTCACAGCGACCATTCATTTTCTTTTTACGGTTTATTGTTGTACTGCTGTATTTCAGTTTTAAGCTGTACAAAATAAAACATCTGACAAATAATAAATACTACTCCCCAATTGTTCATTGACTGAAAAGATAACAGATAATTTAAATCATATTTGATAACACAGTGGCTACCACTAAACAGCCAATGATTATTAGCATTCAGCCACTTTTAGCTAATATATCTTTTGCCCAGTATGTGGCTTAATGCTAACATCATGTTTGATTGTATACAATAGAATAGAAAAGGAGTAGATCCCTGGCTAACGATAATATTAGCTAGGAAGAAGTATATATATTATATATATATTTTAAGATTTCAAGTACATAAAAATGGATTTGTGGATGTGTGGATCTTTGGGACTGATGTCGAGTGAACTGAAAGACGCTTGAAGAATTTCTCAGGAGGTAAAAATCTCTGCTAAATAAAGTGGTGCATGTATTAACCATAAAATGCACTAAAGAGCAAAATCACCTGAAATCACCTGAAAGAAACACAACCTCGCGCAACTCCCAATGAAATAATAGTAAAACACAAAACAACGACCTGGCATGGTAATTTTGTCAAGTGGGAAGTTAAAGCAGATACAAATAGGCACAGGTGACAACATTCAAACTAAACACTAAAAATGATCCAAGGGTTCTTATTTTTCAGATAATCTATAAGAGAGGCACAAACTAGGCCCAGATCTTTGAAAATAGCAGTTAAATTGGGTAAAAAAAGGATTGAAGGATTATTAACATCAGAGGTTCAAATGAGCTTTGTACTGTGTATGCCATTAGTTTGTATCGGTTGCCATAGATATTGTGGAGATTATTTGTGTAAATGAACGGTGCAGCTGCTTAAGTATAAACAATGATGCCCTTGTTCGTGAGTAGACAGGTAATAAGACGTGCCCACTTCACATTCCTTGGCTACCATGAGATGTCACTGACAATAAAATCTTCAGAGCGCCTCTCTCTCTCTCTCTCTCTCTGTACCCTCAGCCAAAAATGGTTATGATTTATAATCTTCCAAGTCAGTAATAGTCAGTAGTAAGTAAAGTGTATTTATACAGAAGTTGTCAGGAGCAGAGATCATAAGTGCTTGGTATCATGTGAACAAGTTTGAATCATTGATTTAACAATATTTCAATGTCTGAATTTGATTTTTTTTTTTTACTTTGAATTGATTATTTTGTTTTTTACATTTTTTGTTTTGTTTTTTATTTTAGTTAATTGTGTAAAATCTGATGCTTATTTTACATAATAAGGACTTAGAATTGCATGGGCTCCTAAATTAAATTGTAGATAAGTCCATGTGAAGACTTATAACATATTTGCTATAGGTAATGTCGTGGTTGATAATG